ATGGGGCGCTATTCCTCCCACTGCAAAATTACAGTTCTGAAGTAGAAACGAAAATAATTTTATGGTTGGGGGTCACCACAACATGAGGAACTGTATTAAGGGGTCGCGGCGTTAGAAAGGTTGAGAACCACTGACTTAAACGCTGAAGCTGCATGCATCGGGGCTAAATGCCCAGTGTGCATAGAGACTAAAATGCTTCTGGCCATGGTTGCACACCTGCCTCCTCCAAGCGTTGCCAAAATCTGACCATTCAGATACAGACTTGTTCCAGAGTAAGATGAAAGCACTGAACACAAAAACAAAGCATTTCAAAAACTAGGGAATACCCCTTCCTTTGGGCTTCCTCAGGCTGCCTGAACCAGTTGCAAACAGACTCTGCTCTTCAACAACGTAGTTTAAAACAAAATTGTATAGTTTGTTCTCAGTCCAATATCCAATACCTTTCACTTCAAATCCTGATAAAGGGGGCATTACTTGACACTCGAAAAGCATTGGTATTGTACTAAAATCTTTTAGGTTACCTTGGAATACATACATAGCTGAACAATCAGATTTTGGTGTGGTGCTTCAATCTCAGGTTTTCTCACAAACCAAGGAGACAGTGTAAGTCCTTTGGCACAGAAATGCTGCCAGACCCACCAATCAAAGCATTTCAGTTGAACCTCTATACCCCTTATAACAGTAGGATTACCATAAGATTGCAGCACTACCCTTCCAGGTTTCTAGAAAACCTCCTTGTACAGTGCAGAGTTAATATGTCAAAAGTACATGATGATATTATGGGACTACCCACAGGCTGGAATCAGGGTAAGGTAAACTATGCAGTGTTCTCATTTCCTCCTAGATGTAACCAGCATTTAACGCTTTTCTTGGGTGTGAGGTCCTGGCCCACCGCAAAGTTGGGCTTTAAAGTATAACTAGAGGCAACAATTTTTCTTTAATTTTGGATAGATTGGAGAGGAATTCGAACCTCTGTCAGGTTTTCATTGCTGTCTATGCCCACATAAGAGAGATTTATCCTCTCTATTTGTCTTGTTTCCTTTGTTTTGCTAGAGCAGGAATAAGAGGGATATCTGCAAATTAGTGGTGCACCGAAATGAAAATTTTGGTAACGAAAATTCAAAATGCACTTGGCCGAAAACTGAAATGCGTAGTTTTTAAAATTGAATATATATTTTTGGGAAAAAATACACTTTGATTAAAAAAAACAATATGTACTCCAATTTTTTTGTAAAATATGAAAGACGATGTTATGGCGAGTAAATATATGTCATGCTTTAAAATTGTGCACTCTCGTGGAATGGCGTGAAACTGACATACTTAATCTCCATGGGCGATGCTTTAAAAATGTCTACAGGTTAGCAGTGTTAAGTTACAGAGGAGGTCTAGTGTGAGAATTATTGCTCTTGCTCTGACATTCTTGACGACACCTCACATGTGTGGTTTGAACATCATTTACATATGTGGGCCTGGCTACGTATACGTTCACCACTATGTGCGAGCATGGGGGGACGGGGGCACTTTAAACTTTAAAAAAAAAAAAATTATTTAATTTTTTTTTTGTTTGTTTGTTTTTTTTGCACTGTTCCTTTAAAAAAAGTTTAATCACTTTTATTCTTATCACAAGAAATGCATACATCCCTTGTGATAGAAATAATTAGTGACAGGTCCTCTTTATGGAGCGATATGGGGTCAATAAGACCCCACATCTCCCCTCTGCAATGTAAAGCATTGGATCAAAAATAAGCATTGATCTAGTGCTTTAAAAAAAAAAATGGCCTGAACGGTGAGTGACATCGCTCCAGTCCTCCAAGGGCATAGAGATGTGTGGCAGCCATATTTCCTTCACTCTTCTCTATGCCCAGCACCTGGATTGATGGTTTCTCAGGTAAGGCTAAACTACTGAGCGGCGGCCGGTGGTGGCAGCGGGTGAGGGGCGGGGTTTTTTCGGCACCTGTATCGGTGCTTTTTTTTATTTCGGTCGATGGCAGAAATGGGTGTTTTCGGCTGTAACGTTTTGCCACCGTAATTTTGGTACATCCCTACTTCAAATAGGGACGACTGGGGATTTCCTCACTTCGGAATGATTTCCACTCACTTCCTGGTTTGGCTATGGGACAGGAAGTGAAGGGAAATCTCCCCAATGGGACACAGATGGCAAAAAAACTGGCAAGGATTAAAACTGTCTACAAATATATGTTGCGCTCCTAAATACTTCTCAATAAATAATAATTAAATTATTACCATTAAATTAATTCAAATTATGATACAAATAACTAATAAAAGTGTATAAATACCAAAAAATATTTAAATAGATAGTTTCAACTAATCAATCTCCTCCAAATAAATATCAAAATAATTCCACATGAAATACTCCTCTAAAAAAAAAAAAAAATATTTTACCAAGTGCTCATAAATCATCTATTAGTGACATGATGTACTTACTAATACCCTCAATTTCATTTATATTCATAATACCCTCATTTAATATAATAAAAATAGTAAACCAACTAATAACCCTCAACTAAAACGCATTTAAATGATCCCCCATAAATAAAAATAACCAAATGCTCATAAATAATTAGTAGTGATTAGTATCAATCCAAATATCATCAAAATAATAGTCCCATTGAATAAACAATTGTTTATATATAGTGACTTGGTGCTTGTTGTTCTTCAATTTGTGACTTTTGTGAATCCTTCAAATAGTGAAGATGTGCGCTCACCTCCTTTGATGCCTGCAATTAGGCTATACACACTTGCTATCAACCCCCTGATGAAGCCACGTGATTGGAGGCGTCACGCGTAGGGGAGGGGCTACGTCATCACTCGGAGAGGAGCTGCACAACACGATAGACGGCAGGTGTATGACTCAGAGGCCAGCAGAGGATTTCCAATGGGATATTGCGTTATTTAAACCTGTCTAAAGTGAGTTTAATACTTGGATGGTGGGAATAAAAAGTTTTAAAAGGTAAAGCACTATGTCCTCTATTTCTTCCTGCATGCGGAGTAACACAAGGAGAGGATAATTAGGAGGTCTGGGATAACAAAAGGAGTGTGTAATCCCTGAGGGGATAATCAGCCACCAGAGGATACATCCATTACTCCTAAAGGAAGGATCTCCCTATTTTACCAGCAAAAGTATATGTCTAGCAGGTTCCAGGGAAAGTGAACCGAAAGTGTGTATAGCCTAATTGCAGGCATCAAAGGAGGTGAGCGCACATCTTCACTATTTGAAGGATTTATGAGCATTTGGTTATTTTTATTTATGGGGGATCATTTAAATGCGTTTTAGTTGAGGGTTATTAGTTGGTTTACTATTTTTATTATATTAAATGAGGGTATTATGAATATAAATGAAATTGAGGGTATTAGTAAGTACATCATGTCACTAATAGATGATTTATGAGCACTTGGTAAAATATTTTTTAGAGGAGTATTTCATATGGAATTATTTTGATATTTATTTGGAGGAGATTGATTAGTTCAAATTATCTATTTACATTTTTTTTTTGGTATTTATACACTTTTATTAGTTATTTGTATCATAATTTGAATTAATTTAATGGTAATAATTTAATTATTATTTATTGAGAGGTATTTAGGAGCGCAACATATATATGTAGATATTTCCGTACGACCATCTGTCCGCCAACTGAAGCTCAGCAGAGGATGGGTGATGCAGCAGGACAATGACCCAAAGCATACAAGTAATTCAACAAAACAATGGCTGCAACAGCACAGAATACGCCTTCTGGAGTGGCCCAGTCAGACCCGATTGAAATGCTGTGGCATGACCTTAAGAGAGCGATTCACACCAGACATCCCAAGAATATTGCTACACTGAAACAGTTTTGTGAAGAGGAGTGGTCCAAAATTACTCCAGATCGTTGTGCAGGTCTGATCTGCAACTACAGGAAACATTTGGTTGAGGTTATTGCTGCCAAAGGAGGGTCAACCAGTTATTAAGTCCAAAGGTTCACATACTTTTTCCACCCTGCACTGTGAATGTTTACATGTTATGTGCAATTAAACCATGGCAACATCTAATGTTTGTGTAGTATTATGTTCAGCAGACTGTGTTCTTCTATTGTTGTGACTTAGATGACGTTCAGAGCACATTTTATGCCCAATTCATGCAAAACTCCACGTAATCCCAAGGGGTTCACATACTTTTTCTTGCAACTGTATTAGATACACACGAAGAGCATTTGTTGAGTCAGCTGACTCTTGTGCTGCCCATTTCTGATTGGCTAATTTCTGCTGAATTGGCTGCAATTCAAGCTATATGTATAGCCCTCTTGGCACCACCCTGAGCTTGGTGGAAAATTGCTGGGCAAACAGTGACTCCAACCAATCAGATGCAGTCACTGTTTGGGCATTCTGACAGTTGCAGGAGCCAGCTGTCAGCTTACAGTAGCTGGCAGGGGAGAGCCCTTCATCCACATTGTTGATAGTGAAATCTGAAATAGAGAGATCTTAACGTGTATGGCTATCCTTAGACTTGTATTGTGAAAGGAGCAGTAAAGCAGGAAGCAAAATCTGACTACATGACTACATTATATTTTAAAAAAACAGACATATTGATCATTTTATTTATATCAGGTTGTTCTCACAGACCTATATCCAGACTGTACACTCCCTTTAATAAAGCGGGCTGATCATGTGCCCCCATCAGTTCTATGTCTTTTGACCCCCTGTATTTGGGTTTAATAATTCATCTGTAGGAAATGCTCTGTTCATCCTCTATCTATGGGAGTAAATAAAACCTTCCTGTCGTTTTCTGTCATCTTTGTGGACTGAGCTTGTCCAGGGCTTGGTTGGTACCCAAGAGAGCCTGACATAGAGATGCTAATGAGTAGCCCGTGTCCTGCAGGAGCCTGCGGGGAAACCTTTGTCTGCTGCTGGCTCTGTTGTGGCACTTTGCTGTGTGTGTGTTAAACCCCCTCCTCTGTGGCGGGGATGTCAGCATATCTCATGTATTTATTATCTCTTTTCAGAGGTGGCGCAGAGCTGCTGTTTGACGGGATCAAGAAACACCAGGTGACCTTGCCTAGCCGGTCAGATCCATGTGAGTATCCTTCATAGCGATGCTTTAGGGTTACCCCTTTCCAATGAGATTGGAGGCAAATGCAGGTCATTCATATGTCTGCTCGGCACGTTTTTTATGCGTTAGCTGGCGATGGTCAAACCAGAATATGTGAAACCTCTACAGACCTTTTTCAGGGGTGATCGGCTCCTCTTTTATTCATTACAAGCAAAGTACACATCTTTTAAGGGACACTCCACCTTTAAAGCTAAACTCCAGGAAAACAACTAAATAGACAATGAAATACACATGAGAACTGTGTGACTTACCAAAGGATTTTTTTTTTTTGTCCTTTCAGTTGTGAGATTTACACAGCTCTGCCACACTGTGAAATGGTGGCTAGCAGGGGAGGGGATCTGATTTTGCTCTCCTGCAGTTTAATTTTCACTTGCAGGTCTCCTCTCCACCTCTTCCATGTGACTGGACAATAAATGATGAAGCAGTACAATTATAAGCTCATCTTTATCAACCTGCTGGCTCTCCCTATCCCCATGCTCCTTGCACTGTATTGCACCTGATTCGCTCCTAGTGCTGCTTCTCCCTCTCCCACTCTGAGTTCTGCTGTACAGGGTGTACAGTAGATTGCAGGAGGGTGATATCAAGTCAAACTCAAGTACCTACCCTGCTCTCATTTACAAAATTAATTTACTGATGTATGAATAATTACAGTGGTACATTTTATATCTTCTGCCTCTTTACCAGTATTTAAGTTATAGGTAGGCTGGGTCACCCAATGCTTTCTTACTTCTCTCGCCGCCCCCCCCTCCCCCCCAATACCTTTTTTCCATAGGCCTTCGGTCTGACCATTACATTGTGTGGGTGTAGGGAAATGCATATAACATTATCAGTCTCTTAGGCCATGTTCACTTGGGTGTACTTTTGCCCGAACGGGACACACAGGTGTTGTACGCATTCATGTCAATTGGAATGCTGCAGCTGCATGGACATAGCAGCACCCCCCCCCCCCCCCCCCCCCCCCACCCCGCCCCCCCCCCCCCCCCCCCCCCCCCCCCCCCCCCCCCCCCAAACAAACACAGACAGTGAGTTTGGAAGCACGCACACAGATCTCAAAATGGGAGCAGCAGTTGTATCTCAGTTGACATGACTGGGACTGCCTGCACATGGATGCACGGAACATCTGTGCATCCAGTTTCGGGCAACAAAAGCCTGTGCATGGGTGTACACTTAAAGCAATATTAAAGGTTTGTTTGTTTTTTGTTAAAATAGTAAACATACCATACTTACCTGTTCTGTGCAAGTGTTTTGCACAGAGCAGCCCCGATCCTTCTTTTCTTGGGTCTCTTGCCGGCGCTCTTGGCTCTCCCCCCCAGGTGCCCCCAGAGCACGCTGTTTGCTCTGCGGGGCACTCATGTATGCTCGCTCCTGTGCTCTGTATGTCCATAAGCTTAGCTAAGTTTATACCTTTACAACCACTTTAGGTATGTGAACGAGTACTAAATGTATTTCGAAGATCACACCACACAGTGGAATACGACTTGAGGCACCTGACTGGTTTTGTGTGACGTGTCTGCCTCTAACCCAACCACAGTCCTCTTGTCTAATATATGAGGAGACTTCAGATGCACTAAGGGCATTGTGAATAAGGATTTTTTTTTTTGTTAACTTCAGGTGAAGTAAATATGGCAGCTACACAGTAAAATTAAAGGGACGGCATATTTGAAGAAAAACAATGACACCAGGAATTCTCTTTTTTTTTTTGTCAGGATAAAAGTTTATTGAAACAAAAATTGAGCATACAGAAAAAAAAAAGGAACCAACATTCCAGGTTCCACAGTACAGTGTCTATATACGACTCAGGACAAATACACATTACACCAAGACAGTCCAGCGATTGTCCATCCAGCTACCCATAAAAAAAAGTACAAGAGAGCAGTTCTGTAGTTTTGACTGAAAACAAGCTATACAGAATATCAAACAAATGACCTATCCATAATCAGATCCACCAGTGCAAAGCCTGGAACTTCCAACCAGCCCCCCCCCCCCATACTTTATTAAACTTGGTGAAGCATTCCGGGTGTTGAAAAATAACTCTCATAACTGAGAGTAATGCACATATGGTCCACCCACTCTTTAAGAGTGAGAGGGGAAGTACTCTTCCAATGTAACAATATTACTTTACGGGCCTGAAACAAGGCTTTAGCAACAGCCTTCCCCGTAAACTGATCCGTTACCACTTAATCAATAATATCAAGATACAGCGTTTAGGGTCCAGAGGAAGAGTAGTAAGAAAAACTCAGTTAATGGTATGAAGTACTGCCTCCCAATACCCATGCAGTTTGGCGCAACGCCACAGCATATGGATCAGTGTACCATGAACCCTGCTACATTTAGAACAAATCGGATTGGCGAGAAAGCTGACTTTGGACATTCACATCGGAGTGTAGTGCACCCACAGTCAGTAGGATATACAACTTAGATAATCTCTGGGATGTGTTCAAGGCGCTAGAATGGACCACCTCCAACGCCATCTCCCACTGCTCACTAGGTAGTTCCCCTATATCTGTTTCCCACTTCTCCGCTACTGTACAAGGATAAGCTGCTCCATGGATGTTCAGCAGCATTGCATACCGGTGAGAAATAAAGCCTTTCTGACTGGGTTCCTGTTGCATCTCAATAAATATAGGGGTAGGGGAGAGAGAGAATCCTGGCGGGAACGCGCTGCGCCTGGACGGCATACTGCAGCTGCAAATAATAAAAGAGCATGGATTGTGGTAACCAATAATGCGATTGTAGAGTGGAGAATGGTAGCACAATACAGCCTCTCAAAATATGTTTGAGGTGCGACGCTCCGTGAGATAACCATTTCCTTGCATATGGCAACCTAGCCAGCTCAGAGTATGTAGGGGTATCCCAAATAGGACTACAGTTTATAAAATCCTCTACTGCCTGTAACTGTTTGGCCTTACCACACCAGCAATTCTAGTATGTAGTGTTGATAAAAGTAGTCTGGCAGGATGAAAACTGGGGATCAACCATTGCTGACTTGTAGGCACTTGCTTCATGGCTATTGTTCAGATACTTTCCCCAATACTTGATGAATCAATGGCCAGGATCAAGCATGTGGTTATTATGTTTTGGGACACCCTATATTCTTATGCCTGTTCCAAATCGCTCACTCACTAAACAGTTAAAAAATGGAGAAGGGTGACAGCCCAGGAATATGCACATTCAAAAGCAAGTCAGCTGTGATAGATTCCAGTGATTATTGTCTCGATGAGTTCCCTTAAGGATGAAGTGGAATTTTATTTACTCTGCTGGGGCTCACATAGGCTCAGCAGTAAAACAGCTACAAAACATTGTCAAAAGGAAGGTTGTCAGAGTGTAGTGTTTATGAAGTCTAAACTTTTATTGCCATGATGGAAAGCCTCTCATCGCCTGGTCATCTCCAGCTGTGCTCAAATCTGTCATGTCCCTTGCTAATATCAGCCTGTATATGGTCAACTTAACTGTTCAATCATCTCAGTAAGGAGGACCTGTACTGTGACAGCTGTGCCCAAAAAAGGCAAGTCAAGGGCAAGGATTACTCACCGGTATTGCCTGTGGTCCCGCTGCAGCTGATCTTTCCACATTACTAAACATGGCCATAAATGAACAGATTGCTCCATCCACAAAAAGCAGGTGAGTGGAGTAATCCCCCCACCAGTGGATTGTATTCCGACCGTGGGAACCAGAGATGTCAGAAATCACAGATCAGCAGCTATATTTGTTGATCAACTAAAGTTTTCCAACGTGTCTCCTCAAAAGAAGTTGATCTAACAATTGTCGACATTTGACCAGTCCCTGCTTAACCAGATGAATTTCAATCTGTCGATGGCCAGCTGAACTTGCCATGCCTTGTTCTGAACTGGAGCACTCAGAATCTGGTGCAGCTGTGCATGGCAGCCAATCAGATTCTAACTTCAGATTGTTTAATTAAGCTTTGGCATTAAAACTTGGAAGCTGATTGGTTTCTATGCAGAGCTGCACCAGAATTTGCACTCTCCAGTTTTAGTAAATAATTTGCTGTCTCTTTCTGGAGGCAGCAATCTTGGTAGGGGAGCAGAGCTTTGCTACCCCATGTCAGAGCTTCACCTTGATAACTGATACTCAAGAAGGGGTAGGGGAAGCACAGATCAGCAGAATGAATAAAGCAAATGGAGATCCCTGTGTTGCAGGTCTTCAGGCTCAGCTAACTCACCAACAAGGAGAACAGCCAACAGTACAGTAGTGACATCATCAAATCTCACTCCAAATCTCCTGAGACTAGTGTTCAGAGGCAGCAGTGCATAGGATGATCTCACGCCACAGATATACAACTGTTGAGGGTAAAGTTGCCCATAAATGGATTGAAGAGTGGCCTGTTCAACAGGGACCAGCCAAAGTTCAATCTATGTGTGGCCACTGCGGTTGAGCAGAAGTTGATATACCGATTGACTTCTGTTCAACTGTCCTGTTGGTATTTCCTCACTTGATCCGTGCCGCTGGCAATAGACTGCAGCGCTGATCTGTACATTCTGACAACAGGGTGAGTCTCCCCTCTGTCAGAAGACAATGACACAGTGAGGAGGATTCCTAAACTTTGTGGATGGGGGAATCCAAACAGTTTTTTTTTCGTTCAACCCACTGGTTGAGTGAAAAAAAACTAACCCATTTATGGCCAGCTAAAGAACTGGAGTGGGCAGACAGCGTCATGTGTCAGGAAGGGCACTACTATTTTTTAGTGCAAATTCAAGACAATAGGTAAATCTCTTTCAGATTACTGCTGAGGCACAATTCAAATTTTTAGATGTTGCTATAAGGTCCTCATTTTCAGGTCCAGTTTAAAGAGCACAAGGAGAACATGCAGACTCCATGCAGGTAGTGTCATGGTTGGGATCTATCCTGATGACCCTAATGCTGCAATGCAGAAGTGCTAACCACTTTAGCCACTGCTATTTCAATTATCTGAATTTTTTGTGTCACGCGCAGTTAGTATTTCTTTA